AAGGATGAGGCTGGTGGCGGGGGAGAGATAAGAATAAAGATAAACCATGTACAGAAACCTCATAACCTCATTAATGTAAACATCACATGCCATAACATGAGCTAAGATTAATTAATAATACCAACAAGAATGAAAATGAGGAAAGAGGAATTAGAGGAGAAGAGATGGAGGAGGAGCGATGGGGATTAAAAGAAGAAACCAGTTGTATTATGTACCTGTATCCACTCCCCAAGATGACTGTAAACTGCATGTACTACAAACATGTACTAATAAAAAATTAAAAATGTGTATGTAATTTGTCCTGGGATTTCACTTGTAGAAATTTCTTTTGAAGCATACTCTTCCTTGTGTGAACTGAGATATGTATAATTATATTCACTGTGACATTGTGTATAATTGCAAATGACTGGAAATACATTAAATGTTTACTAGTGGAGGACAGATTAGTATATATGCATTTCAATACATCACCTTATTTATTTATTTATTGTCTTTGTGAGACAGGGTTTCACTATGAAGTTCAGGCTGGCCTTGAACTCACATCCAATCCTCCTGCGTCAGCTTCCCAAATGCTGGGATTATAGGCGTGGTGGCCTGACTGATACATCACCTTTTCTTGATACAAGGTTTTACTGTGTAATTCAGGCTGGCTTGAAACTCACAATATAGCCCAGACTGGCCTCAAATTCCTAGCAATCCACCTGCATCAGTCTCCCAAGTGCTGGGATTATCGGTATGCACCATCATGCCCAATATAAGTGTGCTTGTGTGTGTGTATTTTATCAGTACATGTTTGGAGTACATGACCTTTACATTCATCTTAGGGAATGGGTATATGTACTTAACATCTTGATTATTTTACACCCCTTTCCTATTTCCCTTCTTCTATCTTTAAATCTCCTTTTCCCATTTTCATTATTATTATATTATCAGTCCATGTTTGTACCATATAAAGATTACATTCTGAGGCAGGAGGACTGCTGTGAGTTTGAGGCCAGACTGGGCTACTTAGTGAGTTTAAAGCCAGCCTGTACTACATAATGAGACCTGGCCTCAAAAAAAAAGATTACATTCATTGAGGGTAGTTGGTACATTTTGATATAGCTGTATAATGCAATATGACTCATCTTTTAAAAGGAATTAGACACTAAATACACTAGCCCTGAATTATCACCAATATTTATTATTAAGAAAAACAAGTGTGAAAGTTATATTTTATTTTACTTTTTGCTGTTGAAGATTAAATCTAGAGCCTTGCATATGCCAAGCAAGTACTCTACCACTGAGCTATGCTCTCAGCCTGGAAGTTTTGTATGCTAAAATTTTGGTGTAACAGGTATGTATATATGTGTGTGTGGCTGTGCACATATGTGGGTTTGTTCAAACAAGCCAGCAGGTTTTGGAAAGTACATATGGGCCAGTGGGGTCAAAATTTTCTCTCATTTTATAAAAGACTTGTCATGAAATAGAACATCCATGCAGAAAAATACTTAAAACATAAATATTTAGTTTAACTATTCAAGGTATGCTGGGCATGGTGACCCACACCTGTAATTCCAGCAAAAGGAACACTGTGAGTTCAAGGCCAGCCTTGACCTTGTCTCAAAAAACAAAACAATACAAAACATTCTTCCAGACAAATATCTCCCTACTTATTACCTCATCTAGAAACAGAACCTTGCCAGCTCCTTGCTCAGAAGCCTTCTATGAGCTTTCTTCCCCACCTTGCCACTCAACAAGGAAACAGCTGCCCTGTCAGGGGTGGTGAGCACTTCCTTGCTTTGCAATCAGTTTTACCACTGACACAGGTACCTCTGTACAATATGATTTTATTTTTCCTTTATATTAAAACTTTATATAAATTGAAATAATAAACATGACACATTTTTTCATGCCTGATTTCTTTCACTCAATATTATGTTCAATTGGTTTATGCATTTTATTATTTTTATACATTTTATCACTTCCAGTTACTGGCTATTACAGGTAATGCTATAGCTGGACATGGTGGCACATGCCTGTAATCCCAGTACTCAGAAGGCTCAGGCACGAGGATCGCTGGGAGTTCAAGGCCTGCCTGAACTATATAGTGAGATCTGTCTCAAAAAACCAAACAAAAAAACAAATAAACAAAAAACCAAACAAGTCATGCTACAGTATAACATACATACATGTGCTCTGGTACCTGAGCAAAGGAGTTCTGCTGGATCTTTTCCTAGGAATAGAACTGCATCCTCATATGTTACACATACACTTGGATAAGTAAGGCTAAATGTTTTACAGATTGTTCCAATTTACACTCCCATCAACAGTATATATGAGAGCTTATGCTGCTTTCCAACTTTGCTATGATTTCTCGTTGTACTGACATTTGTTACTCTTCTTGATATTAGCCATTTTGGTAGTGGAGAGTGTCTAATGATACCACACTGTGGTTTAAACTTGCATTTCCTTGGTGACTGATAGGACTGAGAACTGTCTTAGGTGTTTATTAACTATTAGGGTACTTTTACTTATTAAACAACTGCTAAACCAGGCCTATAGCTACCAGGAAGTCTGATATTTCTTACTGCTTTGTTGCTCTTCATATATTTTGCATATAAGTCCTCTGTTACTCATTTTTTTTTTTTTCAGACAGGGTCTCACTTGATGCAAGGCTGGCCTTGAACTCACTATGTAGCCCAGGCTGGCCTTGAATTCAAGGGAATCCTGCTGCCTTAGCCTACCAAGTGGTGGGATGACAAGTGTATGCCACAACACTCGGCAAGTCCTCTGTATTTTTAGTATTATCTTTCTCCTTGTGGACAGTGATTTTCTTTTTAATGAAAAGTCAGAGTATAGTTATTTTTGAGAGGATTCTGGAAAGCTGACTATGCTCCTTCTAGAGCTATAGAATGGTAAGTCATTCAGGTACATACATATTTTGTGTGATGGCCTGGTATATGTACTTCACAATAAAAATATATTTAAAAAAATAGATTTAGCCTATGACTCATTAAGTCCATCCATATAGGTATGTTTTAAGAGACAGTGCACACATATTTGTAAGGAGACATGAATAAGAATGTTTATAGCAGCATCATGGTTTATAATTTGTATCAAAACATCTAAAATTCATACAGAACCAAAAGAGATCTAGAATAGCAAAAGCAATTCTGGAGAATGAGGTCAAGGCAGGGCCATCACAATCTTTGATTTGAAGGATAGAAAAAAAGTTTTGAAAATAGGGGAAGAAGGGTTAAAGGGAGAGGAGGAGAATATGAAGAAAAAAAATTAAGATATATTATGTTTAGGTACAAATTCCCTATGATGAATGTGATCATTATGCATGTAAACATGTACCAATAAATATTAATTAAAAGTAAACATAAAATGAGGATAAAAATGGCTCCTATTTCATAAGGCGTTAATATATATAGAGTACATACAATAGTATTGGACATATGGTAAACCCGAACAAGTACTTGTAATTACTATCACTGTGAATTGCACAGCAGGGTAACTATGGTCAATAATAATGTATTAATGTATTTCAAAGTGAGAATAATTTCAAAGATTTCATAAGGAAAAATAATAGGCAACTATGGTGATGGAGATGTTAATTAGCTTGATTTAGTCATGCCATATTTTACATATACACACAAATATATATCAAATACTCCATGCATAATTTATATAATTATGACTTGTCAATAAGTAAATAGAAAAGTATTATTATCACTATGATTAGTACCTACACATTTCAATATATGCAGTGGAGATTTAAATGAATTGGAAGAATTCTGAATTTAATTATTTATTTTTATTTATTTTATTTACTTATTTGCTATCCTACAGATAAAGCCAGGCCTTGCACATTCTAGGAAAATATTCTATCACTGAGCCACACTTTCAGCTCTGGAGTTGAATTAGTGATATATACATAGTAAAATGAACAAATATCTAAACTAGAGAATTGTTAACTTCAGGGAACAGTTGTTGTATAGAAATGGTTATCACAAGATATATACTATATGACTCAACTATAAATTATCACAATAATAAACAATGATGGTAGACCTCACCAAAACAATGAAATTGTTACAGAAAATGAGTATGTGAGCGGAGGGTGTACAGAAAAGTTAAATCTCGATATTTCATAATAGGAAGTTAATAGAAGACGATAGGAAATTAACAGAAGATGCCCTAAACTTTAAAAATTTTATTGAAAAGATTAAAACTATTTGCCTTTAGAAGATGGAATCTGGGGGAACAGAAAATGGCCATTTTTCAAACAAGGTGCTAGAGAACTATTAGAGAACTACTTTTACCACATGTAACTAAAAACTACAAGTTAATTGTGAATTATACCATGGTAAAAATATTAACAAAAATAGGGGCCAGTGCCGGGCGTGGTGGCTCATGCCTGTAACCTCAGCACTCAGGAGGCTAAGGTAGGAGGATTGTTGAGAGTTCAAGACCAGCCTAGGATACAAAGTGAGCTCAAGGCCAGCCTGAACTGTATAGAGAGACCCTGTCTCAAAAAGACAAAAAAAAAAAAAGGGGCCGAGGATATAGCTCTGTGGCACAAGTGCCTGCTTGGCAAGCATAAGGTCATGAGTTTGATTCCTGGTACAAAAAATTAATAAAATGTGTAAGAATGGTAAATGTTATTAACCTTAATATTAAAAAATTTTAAACCCATGAACTTCAGTAAATTAATTAGCAATGAACATGAAAATTCACAAGAGGTAAATAAATGACCAATAAAATAAATAAATAAATAAATAAATGACCAATAAAAATGTGGAGAGACTGAGAACGCAGCTCAGTAGTAGAGCACCTGCCTGGCATGCAGAAGGTCCTAGGCTTATAAGCCCAAGATTGTAAAAAAAAAATGTGTAGGTATATGATCATGCAAAAAATCTTGTAAATGAAAACAAGACACAGTAGTATCCTTCCTTTTTCAGGCTCTGAAGTTCTGGATGAATTCCTGAGCCAATAGATCGCTTCCTCCTTACCTCACAGGTGTTGCCACATCCCTCTGGCTGGACAGAGTTCCTACTGGCTGCCATATTCACACTTGATCTCAAATCTAGTGCTTTCCTGCTGACTTGTTCTTCCCAGGTTCCCAGATCTGGTGGGGTCTGTGTATTCAACTGGAGCTGCTGGGGTCAGACAGAAGATCCTGCAGCTTTCACTAAGGGGTGCAGCCCAGGGATTCTGCAGACACTCCAAGAAATCTGGAAAGACAGTATTCTCATGGTCAGAATCATACGCATTGGCATCACCACACAAATATTTTTCTGGTAGCAGCAAAGTACAGTTCACTGCACTGGATACTAAATAATAGACAGAGTCCTAGAAACACCTATAACACTTATTAATCAACATGGAATATAAGCATGAGATTTGGGCTAAAATTAATAAAGGTTTAAGTTCTAGCTGTCTCATCTTTTAGCTGTGAAACTATAAAAATGTTTTTCTGTTTTATTTTTTAAAATGAATTGAAACTATCTCAATTGGCTGTGAAAATTAAATGAGATGCTGTTTATAAGGGACTCAGCATGAGACTGGCACAATATAAACACTTAACACACATCAACAAGTACTGTTATACAGGTTGAGCATCCAAAATCCAAAAACCTGAACTCCAGAATCCACAGCTTTTTGAGTACTGACAAGATGCCACAAATGGAAATTTGTATATCTGACATCATGTAATAAACAGCAGTTAAAATGCAGGTGCAAAACTGAAAACAACAAACCAGACAGAAGTGCAGAAAAAGGCACCTTCACACACTGTTGGTGGGAATGTAAATTAATATAGCCACTATGGATAACAGTATGGAGATTTCTCAAAACACTAAAAATAGAACTAATGTATAGTCCAGCTAACCCACTCCTATATATGTATCTGCAAGAAATTACGTCAGTATACAAAAGAGATATTTGCACATCCGTGTTACTTGTTGCACTACTCATTATAGCCAAGAAATAGAATCAGCCTAGGTGCGGTCAACAGATGAACCAATAAAGAAAGTATGGTACCTGTATAATGAAATAGTTTTCAGTCATAAACAACTAAATCCTGTCATTTGCAGGAAAAATGGATAGAACTAAAGGTCATCATCTTAAGCAAAATAAGCTACACACAACAAGATAAGTATTGCGTGTTTTCTCTCATATGTTGAAACTAAAAACAAGTAGAAAATAAAAAATGCTGACCTGAAAGTAAAGGCTGGACTACTGGGGGGATAGACCTGGTCAGTATATGATATATGCATGTATGGAAATGTCACAGCGAATCCCAGTGATTTGTACAATTAATGTGTTAAGAAGTAAAATGAAATAAAACATTGAGAAGATACGGGGAGGAAACAGGTGTAGTAAAGTATTATATAAAATTACTTTCAGGCTGTGCATATAAGTTGTATATGAATTACATACGAATATTGAATATAGGCTTGAATTCCATTCCAGGATCTCCATCTCTGTCTCTGTCTCTCTCTGTCTCTCTCTCTCCCTCTCTCTGTCTCTCTCTCTCCATATATATATATATATATATATAAAATTCCACAAGAAATGCAAAATCTAAAACATGTCGACTCTAAAGCATTTTAGATAAGGGATATATGACCTGTAAAAGGAACTATACAATGTGCAGATGCAAGTACTTTATACAATTTGCACAAAAATCCTGTGACATATATCTTGCTGTAATTATTATTATTTAATTTTGTGCATACAAGAATGGGGTATTAATAGTCAAACCCAATTTACCTGGCTTCAAAGTTACAAGGTAGGCCCTAAATAAATGTTGTTCTGCTTAACAGGTGTTGAAAATATGGCTGAATCAAGATCAGGAAAACCGCCAACAACAAATGCTGGAAAGGCTGTGTGGAAAAAGAAACTCTCCTGCACTGTCAGTGGGAGTGTAGATTGGTGCAACCATTGTGGAGGTCAGTCTGGAGATTTCTCAGAAAGCTGGGATTAGAAGCCCCATTTGACCCAGCTATTCCACTTATAGGCATATTCCCAGAAGAACTGAACGCATCATACCACAGTGATATATGTGCACCCATGTTTATAGCAGCACAATTTGTAATAGCCAGATCTTGGAAACAACCTAAATGTCCATCATCTGAGGAATGGATAAAAAAGTTGTGGTATTTTTATACAATGGAGTACTACTCAGCTATAAAGAATGATCACAATGAGATATTTATAAATCAATGGATGCAGCTTGAGACCATATTCATAAGTGAAATAAATCAAACTCACATGTATAAATACCAAACAGTTTCCCTAGTGTAAGAAATGATAAGAATACATAAAAGTAAATGGTAATCATGATTCCCAAACATATTGGTTTGAAGCCATATAATGTTTTCACTCATTAATTGGAATGGTTTTAATCTGGGTTGTTCTATTTTATTGTCTGTGATAGTACAAATAGCTATTTTGAAGAAAACAAGACATAATTGCTAGTGCTGATTTAATATCATCTTGTTTTGAAGTCCCATGAAGCTGTTGTTCATCTGTTTCCACTGGTTTTAACATGTTGTATCTTCTTATATTTTACTATATGCCATAGTATAAACAAAAATTTTTATAGGCAAAGAGATAATATAGAAACCATTGTTCGTCTTCTGTTAGCTGGTTCTAAATACCCTGTAATACTTTCATTCTCTTGAATGGCTTCACAATGTCTTGATATGTTTGATGCTACAGTATACGAAGTTATACTCAAATATTTCAAGGAAAGAGACAGTATGGTGACTACTGTTATGTCAGGTTATCTGGTGGTGAAACACAATGATGTTTAAATTGTTCAGTTCTGACCTGTGTTGTTCTGTTGCTATGTCCTCTTTCATCTCAATCTCTCCCTTTTTTCCTTTTTTTTTAAAAAAAATTATTTTTTCTTATTTTTTTAACTAAGGGAAAACTAAATTTAAAAATAGTGGGATATATTATAGTAATTTTTTTGTTTTCCTATTAACCTGATTTGAACCCCTGTAATGCTCTCCCCATCTTGTTCTGACTGATTTTATTATATTCTGTTTTGTTTGATAGTACCAAGTTTGAGGGTATAAGCAACCACTTTGAAGGCAATAAGATTTACTATGATGCCCATTATGGTTTGACTATTATCTTCTTTTGAAGTCCTGTAAGGTCTCCAATGTAGGTTGTATTGGTCTTGTTCTGTACTGTTTTGTTCAGTTCTACTATACCTGATGATATAGGCAACTCTTTTTAAGATAGCAAGAGGCATTATGGTAACCATTGTTGATCACCTGGTATTCTGTTTTTGCATCATGTACTGTATCCATCCTTCTGTTCTGACTCTGTTTTGCTTTGTCACATTTGGTTTTTTTTTTCCTCTTCAAAAAAAAAGTTATAAGAACTGTGGGAGTAATAAAACCCAAAAGTGTAATTGTTATTGTAAAAAAGAGAGGAAAAGAAAGTAATTTGAAGGATATAACTGCATGCATATTTAAGTGTGTAGGATAGAAGACCATATTACCGAGTTTTTGTTGAATCATTAAACAGAACCGTCTGCAATCTCACTGTATGAATGTCCACTTTGTATGCTTTAATTTTGTAATTTGGACAACTGTTTCTAAGATGACAATATGTAATCTATTAACTAGTGATTTCTTACTGTATATTTTTTTCTTGAAATTCTGTATTACTTGTACCCTTTTCCTGCTTTGTTTTGTTTTCTCTCTTTAAATAAAAAAAAGAAAATATGGCAGAAATTGTGATTAAAAAACACTTAAGTTTCTTGAAATGCCATAAAATATGAGTAGCTTGAGACTAAAATTGTTTAATTATCGCAAAAATATGCACAAGTAATACTATTTCTCCTATTGAGTGAACGAGGGAAAAAAAGAGTGTCTCTATGTCAAAGTATAAGTACAATTTTATACTGATCAACTACTAGAGGCACTACAGATTTAGAACTTCTTAGAAAGGGGAAATGTCTAATTAAAATGGAGATAAATAGTTATGACAATAGATTTAAGAAATGGGATGAAAAAGAAATGAGAAAGTAAAATAAATAAGTAATAAAATAAAAGGCATTAAGTTGAATTTTAAAAGCATAAAGAGGGCAGTGCAGGGAGCTTCACCTCCACTGCCACAGGCGGAGAGAGCTGCGCTGCCGGATAAGGTTTAGGGCCTGCCTAGACTGCACCTGGTGACCTTCTTTCAGTCCAGGGAGCTTCCTACCCAAGGAGGTGGGTTCCTGCATACCATCTGAGCCCTGGAAGAGTTTAGGATTCTTGCTCTGGGTGGTTGGGGACCCGCCCGGCTTGCAACCATGCTGAACTAGGCTAGGCAGATGTCAGGCCTCCCTGGGCCGTGCCCAATGTCCTTCTTTCGGTCTGGGGAGCTTCACTGCTGGAGGGGGAGCTGCGCTGCTGGAGGAAGCTTTGGGCCTATCTGGGCCGCATCCAGTAACTTTCTTTTAATCTGGGGGCTTCGCTGCCCAAGGAGGGAGCTGCACTGCCACAGGAGTCGCAGGAGCCCAGGACACAGGAGACAATTTCGAACATGCCCAGGGGAAGCCTTGGAACAACACTTGAAACACAGAAATATAGGAAAATGACAAAACAAAAGACCAAAATGCAATCTCAAACGACCAGCCCAACCCAAGAAAGCCTAGGAGCCATGTACTTAGAATAAAATATGTGCCATACACCTGAAATACTGGAAATAATAGTAACTAAAATAAAGAAGCAACTCCAGGAAGCTTTAAAGGATTCAAATTAGAAATAATCTCCCAAGTAAAAGAAGAAATGATAAAAGGAATGAATGAGATACCGAACACATCTAAAGAAGACACAGTTAAAAAATTAGAGAAACAAAACAAAAAGATAGAATCCTTGGATGAGCAATATAAGACACAAACAGTACATAATGCAGATTCAAAGAGATATAAAGGAAATCAAAAATTCCATTGAAAGTTGTCAAAACCACCTCAATGAAAGTGAAGATAGAATTTCAGATATTGAAGACAAGATTGCAGCTAGTGGACAGGAAAGATCTCTTAAAAATAACAAGGAATCAGGAAATAATTCAACAGCTGCAAGATTATGCAAAGAAAAACAATATAAAATTGTTAGGGAAAAATGAAAAAGAAGAGGATAACACACATGATATCAAGAGACTATTTACAGAATAGCTGAAAATTTCCCAAACATGAGAATGGAAACTGACATACAGATTAGTGAAGCAT